ATGGAAAATGTTCATTTGGAGAGTTGTAGCCAAATATCAGAGGAAATTAGAAAATTCCAGATCCAGTCTAGTTTACAGGTACAAAACAAAACCTCAAAGGCAAGTAATAGCACTAGAATCTGATATACGCAAAGGGGTATTTACATAAGTACAGCAAGAATAGTGACAAACTACATAGGCTTTTTAAAATCTGCTTTGCTGGAATTTTTTATAAGAAATTTAAGATTAGACCTTTAAAGTCTGTTTGGCTAAGAAGCCAAGCCAAGGACTTGTCTAACTGTATCCTATTATAAGGAAGACAGATTCTTAATGAACTTATGCCAAAGAAGAAGAAAAAGTGTTGTCATTAAAAAAAGAATATATTTAATAAGAATTTCAGAATTCTGGAGGGATCACGTAGAGAGAAAAAGATAAATGTTTGAAGCTTTGTTGCAAAGATATATCTTACTAAATTACTGTAAGTTTTAGATAGCTTAAAAGAGAGAAGGAAAGGGGTCCTTTAAATCTGGAAAACAAAACATTGAAGAACCAGCAATGTTTTAAGTGAAATCATGAAAATAAAAATCATCTTCATCAGTCCATTCAGTCTTACACAATTTGTCAACGTAAGAAATGTTCAAAGCTGTAGAGAATTTTTATGAGTTTATTTGAGCCAAACTGAGGACAATTGCCAGGAAGTGAAATCTCAAGGGATTGAGAAAATGCTGCAGAAAATGGCTGTTTTGCAGCTTATTTTATACGTTAAAATAAAAGGAGGCATAGGAGGGTTACATGGAATTCACTGGTGATAAATTAGGGAAGCCGGAGAAAGTAAAGGGGGGCGGATTTCTGGGATTGGATAAAAAAGTAAAATGGAGAGACACATACTTCTTTTGCATTGGTGGGTACAGGACAGTTAACAATGAACATTTACAGCACATAAAGATGGTATGGGGTGGGGGACAAGATAACAATGAGGGGTTCCTGGTGGTTTTGTGCTTTGGTGGCAGATTGTGCCCTGAAGGGTCTGGAAAAAAGGGGATACTCAGACTTTCCAAAGGTATGTTATCTCAGATGCAAAAAAGACAGTAGGCTGGGACAATAATACCCACCATGACTTGCTTTTAGTTAAGTTTCAATTTCAGACCATCCTGTTGTTACTAGGAAACCCTGATGGGGCTCGGTGGGGCTCGGCGCTGCCTGTTGCTGTATCCAATTCAACTGAGGCTGGGTTGAATCTTATAAGGCCTTTATTGAGAAGGCCAGTCAACCAAGACAGTTCATTGTTAACTGTCCTGTACCCACCAATGCAAAAGAAGTATGTGTCTCTCCATTTTACTTTTTTATCCAATCCCAGAAATCTGCCCCCCTTTACTTTCTCCGGCTTCCCTAATTTATCACCAGTGAATTCCATGTAACCCTCCTATGCCTCCTCCTTTTATTTTAACGTATAAAATAAGCTGCAAAACAGCCTTGTTGAAGGGAACCAACAAGCACCCAAAACCTGTCTTCAGGAGTGGCCTGAGGGACCGGGTTATATGGGGTAAACTGAGGCTGGGAATGGAATGCAGCTCTGTGCAGTCCTGGAAGTCATTCTTTTGATCTTGGTCACCTGGGGAGGTCTCGATAAGGTGATAGCTTAACCCATTGTTCACAGCTGCTGCGCCACCTGCTTAATTGTTTGTCCTGATTTCAGTCCTGGATCAAGAGGAGTGCAGGGTCCAAAGGCCTAGGAGAAAGAAGCCTAAGGGAAAAAAACTTAAATCCCTTACATAAGTATATGTGTTCTACAATTTTATTACGAACACCATAAACCTGAAGTCAATGCTTGGGTTTTCGAACACGTCTCGGAAGTCGAACATGGCATATGGCTTCCACCGGGGGTAAGATCCTGAGGCCTAGCTGTTGGCTGTTGATCCCTCAGCTTTCCAGTGTTTCAGAACTCCAACAGTCTTCCAGAACGGGTTACATTTGAAAACCAAGGTACCACTGTATAATTATATTTCAGATTAATTCAGGTGCTCAATCTTTGGAAATTATAAGTGCCCCTATCACTGTGTGGTGACTTTAAGTCTCTGAGTTTGTAAGGCCCCTGAGCTTGTCAGGTTTAGTATGTGGCCCCTTTTTGGTCCACACATTCCCCTTTCAGTCATAAATTAATCTGGAAGGGTGCACTAATGACCGACCTTTGATTGAGTAACATGGCCCCATGGTGCTAGGGAGGCTCATTCCTAGGAAGTCTCAGTCAGCTCCTGTCTTGCTCAATGATGGACCACTGGGGATGGGGCAAGACAGTAATCATGGCTGGAATCAAGTTCGAGTTTTTCTTCAAAGTGAAAGGCAGGTAAATGGGTGGCAGTAAAGTCTTATGGGCCTTTATTAAGAAAAACACTGGATCATTTCTAACCTATAAACTATCATGATCCAGGTTTTACTGTCTGTCTCACTTCTATGCATTTTACATCTAGTGTAACATTTATGTATACAGTAGTTTGAGGGCACACCATACATCTTTTCAGTTTTTTATAATCTGACTATGAGATGAATTCCTATTTACTATGGCCTATCTACTTCCCATTGGAAGCATTCCAGTGCCATTCGTTATTAATCTGATTCCTGCTAGTCACGCGATTGGAAGCTATAACTTTAAGGTTTATTTGGGGACAAGATTGTAAGAGCACAATGCCATAAATTATAATTACATAATTCCAGAGGATAGTAAGAGTTTCATAAGTAAACTTCCTGTGCCTCAGCAGCAGTTATAAAGGGCCATCTTTTGATAGCCATTTCAGCTTCCATCTGAATTAGTATAGTTAGTAGTCTTTGTTGAGTTAGGGAGTAAGCACATTCCCATAATTAAGTTCTAGCATTTATACATAAAATTCCTTTCTCAATATTTCATTTTCACTAGCTTTCTACAATTTCCCTTGATCTTTGTCTCTTTTTACTCATTTAGAAATAACCAACTTATTAGAATGAACTACTTCCTTTTAATTTCTCTTAAAAATATGCACATCCCTTTCCTTCCTTTTGTAATAGCATTAAATTTCAAGAGAAATTATAAAAAAGAATATTATTGGTAATACAAAAGTTATCTTGTGCACCTTTAGCAATAATTAACAGTTGGGCTTATATACACAAGGTTTGAGAAAAGCCTAAAGAACAAGTATAATAACTATTATTAATATTAGCAGACAGGTAAAGACAGTCAATGTTCAACATCGATTTGTAGGTACACAGGCCTCGTTGATGTCTTGGGATAGCTGTCTGTCTCTGATGTTGGCGGCTTCTCATTCTGCAGAGCCTTTGATCTCCACTGTAGATGGAGGCAAGTGTCAGAGATTAGGGTAGATGTCCACTCAAGGTTAGGCATCTGATAAGGTCCATTCTAACAATGTTGGAGAGAGTCTTTAATTAATGCCTTTTCCAAAGGACAAAAATCTCCTGGTTGTAAGTCATAGTCTTTAAAGTCTTTGTCTTGAGGGAGCACATTGTGAAATGAATGTCACTAATTTACCAGTTCCTATAAGCTGGTTAATGAGCTTTTTCTTTTTTTAATCCTCACCGAAGGACGTGTTCATTGATTTCTAGAGAGAGACAGAGAAAAACATTGATGTGAGAGAGAAATATTGGTTACCTCCCACATATGCCCCAACTAGGGCTGGGGATCGAATCCAAAACCTAGACATATGCCCTGACCAGGAATCCAACCCATGACCCTTTGATGTATGGGACGATGCTCCAGTCAACTGAACCAAAAGCAATACGCTTTTGATAATAATACAGATTATCTCTTTTTCGTAAGGTTGATTCATATGTCCCTTCATCTAGATTATAGATGCATAGGGTGGCTGGTGACTATTTCATAAAGATAGGCTGTGTTTACCAAAAGAAGTAGATTTCAGGTTGAGGAGTACTATGAGAAGAGGTTTTGGCGAAGGGAGATTAAAAGCTTCTGAAAAATTACCTAGTTTAGTTTTAATTGTACCATTTGTATGCTCTACCAATCCGGAGAACTGGGGGTATTGGCACAATGTAAATACTGTAGAATAGGCCAAATACTACAAATGGGTCGCATTATTTGCCTAGTAAAATGAGTCCCTCGACTCATTTCCCAACTCAGAGGGAATTCTCCAATTTGGAATTAATTTTTCATTAATAATAATTTACCTACCATTAAGGCTGTTGCTCTCATGTAAGGAAATGCTTCAGGTCATCTAAATCATAACCCATATTTGTATTCTTGAGATGATGGTATTTCGATAAAATCCAATTTCCATACCTCAAATGGATCTAAAGGAAGAGGGAAATGTCCTTGAGACCTGTGGAGTGATTTTCCAGGGTTATATTTTAGGCAGATACAACATCTGTTACACTTTATGAGCTACAGGTACTACAGGAATGATGGCTGAGAGGCCTGTCAGGGGGGACCTATAACAGATCTGAGCACATGCTTCCCTTCCTGCTACCTGACCCATGCACTCAAACATGTGAGGGGCTTGATCAAGTACTCACCGTGTGCCAGCCCCATGCAGGGTTCCAGAGGTCCTGGGAGCCTTTTCTGAGTTGTGCAGCCTCGGACAAATCACTTAACTATTCTGATCCTTAGTTTCCTCATGTGTAAAAGAGCTAACAAGAGTCTCCACCTCATAGGGCAGCTGCTGGACTATCACAGAGATGAGGTTCTTATAGTACAAAACAAATGGTCGGACCAAGAGTCAGTGCCCAAGACAGAGAAGAAAGAAGACTCAGGAGGGTAGTCAGGAGAGAGAGAGGGGAGGCAGTGCCCAGGGAGGGGCAGGAGGATAGGAGGGGAGGCCATCAAGTGCAGAAAAGCCCCAGGGTCCCATTGGGGGATGGGAGCAGCTGGGGATAAAGGCCACAGGTCAGGGTCTTCCCAGCCATTGCTCTTGCCTCTGTCCCCAGCGTGGCCATCCTGATTTACCTGAGCTGTAAGTACCAGACGGCGGACCACTGGTACCCATCTGACCTGCAGGCCCGCATGCGTATCCATGAGTACCTGGGCTGGCATGCTGACCGTATCCGTAGCACCTTTGGTGTGTCCCTGTGGGCCCAGGTGAGGAGAGGCATCTGGGGAGTGGTTGACTGTCAGGGACCTGGGAGGAGGCAGGGGCCATAGACTGAGCCTACACTTTGCCTCTGTCAGGTGCTGGCACCGCTCATTGGGGTTCAGCTGCCAGAGGAGAAGTTGAAGCGCAATAGGACCGCTGTGGACCAGGCGCTGCAGCACCTGGAGGACAAGTTCCTGGGGGACAAGGCCTTCCTCACTAGTCAGCAGGTGACGCTGGCTGACCTCATGGCACTGGAGGAGCTGATGCAGGTATTAGCTGGTGGAGTGGCATTTGTGGGCAGCATCCCTCTATAGCCACCTGCATTAGACAGCAGGGCTGAGGCCTACAGAAAGTTAGGACTTTGCCCAGCATCACAGAGCAAGTTTCTGGCTGAACTGGTACTGGAGCCATTACCTNCGCCCCCGCCCCCTCCATGTTGTGCCTTGTGCTGTGCTAGCTGATCTGGTGAGAGATACAGGTGGGCAAGCTGCCACCCAACCCACAACATTCCCAGCTGGATGTAAACACTTCTCCTGCTTGTGCCCTTGAACCAGAGCCCGATCGAAGTCTGAGCAAAGCAAATTCACAGAAAAATGACTTGACACAATTTAACCAGATGGGCATGGCAGGGCAGGATCCAGTTGGGCCTTTGTCCCTGCTCCATTTCCCCCTCACTGGCTGAAGCCCCAGAGGGGCGGGGCCTGGGCCCTATATAAGGGAGGCGCCCTGCTTCTGCCACCACTACCGTCCAGGACTGCCATCTCTGCTGCCTTCTAATCCAACGCCCCCTGCCGCCATGGTCCTGGAGCTCTACCTGGACCTGCTGTCGCAGCCCTGCCGCGCCGTCTACATCTTCGCCAAGAAGAACGGCATCCCCTTCGAGCTGCGCACCGTGGAACTGCTCAAAGGTGGGCCCAGTCATGCTCCCCAGGTGTCCACAGGCCGGTGCACCCATGGGCTCCTTGTCCAGCAACTCCCTGAACGTCCCCACAGACCCCATTGTCCACATAGCTCCCTTATCGCCAGTATTGTCTCCCACTGGAGAATGCCTTGGGATGTGTGGCCTTGTACAGGTCAGACCTTCTCTGAAGCTTAGCTTTCCCCTCTGAAAGGGGGGACAATATTACCTTCTACTCTGTGGGGTGGGGAGAAAACTGGATTTTTAGAGTTACTGCCCTGAAAAGCATGTATTTCAATTCACAAAACCCGAAAGACCTGGGGAGACTGCCACACTGTGGTGAGAATTAAGGGGTGGGAAAAGCTGAGCCACCCCTCCCCTGACCCACCCCAGTCCTGTCTAAATAACTTCTCGGAGAAACAAAATGGCAGCGTAGGTAACAGCTGCACCCGCCGCCTCACACAACCACATCAAAATCACAACTAAAATACAGAACAGCCATCGCTCAGAACCTCCTGAAATCTGGCTGAGCAGAAGCCCTACAACCAGGGAACTGAAGAAGCACCGAGACTGGTAGGAGGGGTGGAGATGCGGGAGGATTGGGGCTGAATCCCAGAGACTCGGCCCCGGGCCCACACCTGGTGGTGTCACAATTTAAACTTGGGAGGGACATCTCCGCGGCGGAGGTTTCCGGGAGGAATGAGGGGTTCCAGCCCCACATTGGGCCCCCAGCCCAGGGCTCTAGGGCCGGGAAGAGAAGTCCCCGCAACTTTGGGCTGTAAAAACCAGCAAGGAGTGTCACTAAGGGACGTGGAGGCTGTGGGAACCCTAGACTTTCCTCTTAAAGGGCCCATGCACAGACTCACTTGGACGCGCTCCCTCTGAGCCCAGCGCCAGGCAGTAGCTTGAAAGGAACCTGGGACATTGGGGAGGAACTAACCTGCCTGAAATTGGGGCGAGAGCTGGAGGGGCAGCTCTCTCCCAGGTGGAAGAGCTGACAGAAGCCATTGCTCCTTTGGCAAGTCTTCTCCACACGCAATTGGCAGGTAGGCGCCGTATTTGAATCGCCAGCACCTGACTCACACCTTTGGCCCCC